GAGGTTATCATGATGTTGTTGAACAACCACAGAATTTAACCTTGACTGGCGCTTGGCTGGCAAGTCTGTATCTTTCTTCTATGATTCATCTCTAAGTCTGAGGGCAGAAACAAAGTTAGTCCGTTCTTATTACTAACCTGGACGGCTTTGAGCACACTCTGACTTCCTAACTCAACAGAAGGAAGCCGGCTGTGGTTCTCTCCGGAGAAATCTCAGCCCTGGGGCTGTAAAATCTAATCCCAAGAGCCAATTAGGGTGGATTCTACAGCCAGGGACCCGACAAGCTTGTCGGTGTTCCAGCCCGAGGCTCCAAGCCTCCAAGTGTGTTTTGTACCTCCCTAAGGGGAGATGTTTTATTTTGAAGGAGAAACCTGATACAGCTTGAATTTTTCTGGCTTGGACTGAAGCAGACACAAAGTTGCCTGAAAATAACATCAGTTCGCCAATGACCAGTAAGCGAGCCGACAACAGTTCACTGACTGATCGGAGGCGAGCCAGTCCCTACCTGGTAGTAAGTTGGATCAGATGACTGGGGAAGATGTTGGATGGACCTCTTAGACACAAACGTAGTGAGAGTTTGCTGGGAATGCCTAGCAGAAGAATCCATTAGAAGGACCTTCAACCCACTCTTCTAAAAGAACTTTAACTGCATCCCAGCTGAGGTGGGGGACATTGAGTCTGAGTGGGCCATGCTCATTGCCTCAGTCACTGAGGCGACTCCCTTGAGCTGTGGCTGCAAGGTTGTTGATGTGTTTCATCGTGGTCATCTTCAAACTTGGTGGTAGATACCCTGGGTTAAGGAGGCTGACAAGCTGAAGGAGTCTTGTCTGGCCTTCTTAGATGGCAGGACTCCAGAGGACGTTAATACCATCAGGCCAAACAGGCCCTGACTGYTGCTGAGGCAAAAACTCAAGATGTGGGTGGAGTTTGGTGAGGTCTTGGATAAAGACTCTCGATCGGCTCCGAGGAGGTTCTGGCAAAACATCAGGTGTCTGAGGCGGGTAAAGCAGCACTTCACTGACACTGTGTTCAGTGAAGGTGGGGTGCTGTTGACCTCAACCAGTGATGTCGTCGGAGGTAGAAGGAAAATTTCTTGGACCTTCCCAATCCCATCAGCACGTCTTCCGTGAAGGAAGCTGAGTTAGGTGATTTTGGGGTTGGTYTGTTTATAACTGGAGCTGAGGTCTTCGAAGTAGTTAAAAAGCTCTGCAGTGCCAGGACTCCAGGGTTAGACGAAATCCGCCCAGATTGACATGCTTTTGTAACATTACATGGACGTCGAGGGTAGTGCCACTGGATTGGCAGATCGGGGTGGTGGTTCCTCTCTTCAAAAAGAGGGTGTGTTCCAAATATAGGAGCATCCCTCTCCTTAGCTTACCTAATAAGATCGGTTCAGGTGTACTGCTGAAGAGAGTTCGATTTATCCTTATTAGGGTTCTTAAGCGGTCATGGGAGTCTGCCCATGCAGTCTACATGTACTGTTTAGACCTGGAGAAGACGTTTAACCATGTTCCTTGAGGTACACTGTCTAATGTCCATTTTTAAATATTTTAAACATAAGTTGATGGCTGTTTAATCAGAGAGCATACTGGGTTTGTTGGTAGTTAACACAGTTGATACAATATGTACAATGTTAAGAAAGGAGACTCTGAAGACATCCACCATTTTGGCTGGGTATCATGGCCAATTATCTAAATCAATTAGATTTTGATTCATTAAGTTCAGAATTGATTAATCTTGATTCGATTCAATGAAAATGTTTATTGATATTGTATTTTGCAACTGTGTTGCAAAATACAATATCACCGTTTTTTTCTCTTCAACATAAACAAAGGTTTTAAGGACAAATTTTTTAATTAAAGTGTTTAATCTTGAAAGAAAACTGTCACATGTATAAAAAGTTTTACAGTAAAAAGGAATTGCAGGTGACAGTGTTGTTGGAACCATTCATTTTTAAGTAATTAGGGGTCCAAGCCCGAGGAAGCAGGGTAACGCAGCTGCAAAGCAGCAGCGTTTCCATGTCTCCATCGGAGCATGGAACCCTATTGTATCTGTTCCGTTTTTTATTATTATTATTATTATTATTAGGGGTCCAAGCCCGAGGAAGCAGGGTAACGCAGCTGCAAAGCAGCAGCGTTTCCATGTCTCCATCGGAGCATGGAACCCTATTGTATCTGTAGGGTAACGCAGCTGCAAAGCAGCAGCGTTTCCATGTCTCCATCGGAGCATGGAACCCTATTGTATCTGTAGGGTAACGCAGCTGCAAAGCAGCAGCGTTTCCATGTCTCCATCGGAGCATGGAACCCTATTGTATCTGTAGGGTAACGCAGCTGCAAAGCAGCAGCGTTTCCATGTCTCCATCGGAGCATGGAACCCTATTGTATCTGT